AAGCACCTAAATTATTGGGATCGTCTCAAAGCTCTCCAATTGTACTCACTAGAAAGGAGAAGTGAGAGATACCAAATAATATACACATGGAAAATACTGGAGGGACAGGTCCCAAATTTACACAGTAAAACAACAACGTACTGGAGTGAACGACATGGAAGAAAATGCAGAATAGAACCAGTGAAGAGCAGAAGTGCCATGGGCACAATCAGAGAACACTGTATGAACATAAGAGGTCCACGGTTGTTCAACGTCCTACCAGCGAGCATCAGAAATATTACAGGGACAACCAATCTTCAAGAGGAAACTAGATTTATTCCTCCAAGGAGTGCGGGACCAACCGGGCTGTGGTGGGTATGTGGGCCTGCGGGCCGCTCCAAGCAACAGCCTAGTGGACCAAACTCTCACAAGTCAAGCCTGGCCTCGGGCCAGGCTTGGGAAGTAGAAGAACTCCCAGAACCCCATCAACCAGGTAACCATGAACATCTTCAAGAGGAAACTAGATTGTTTCCTTCAAAGAGTGCCGGACAGACCGGGCTGTGGTGGGTATGTGGGCCTGCGTGCCGCTCCAAGACACAGCCTGGTGGACCAAACTCTCACAAGTCAAATCTGGCCTCGGGCCGGGCTTGGGGAGTAGAAGAACTCCCAGAACCCCATCAACCAGGTATCAACCATGTATCATTCTACAATTTGACTTAAAGAAGATTAAGTAAATTATATAGTATTTCACACAGATATTCTATGTTAAGGACTCAAAAGAACCTCAAATCACTTTGTTGTAGGTATGAGAGGCAATTGTCTACCGGCCCAGTGCTCTAACTTCCTGTCAGTCAGTCAGGGATGAAGCTCCTAGTGCGTATCAACACCACTCCACTCATCCCATATAGCGCCACGATTTCTGTAAACATTATGATTTTTCCAGGCAGAGTACAACTTTCCAAGCATAGTATAAGTTTCCAGTCTAATGCAAAACAAGCAGACTGAATATAGGAATATGAACCTGCCGCATCATTGTAAATCTACTGTTGACCAAACCACACACTAGAAAGTTAAGCGACGACGACGACGTTTCGGTCCATCCTGGACCATTCTCAAGTCGAGTGCGATGATGTTGTTGTTGTTTTAGATTCAGCTACTCAGAACAAAAGTTCCAAGTAGCACGGGCTATGGTGAGCCCGTAGTGGACTTACCTGGCACAGGAGCGGGGCTGTGAGTGTGATGAGTGAAGATTGATTGATAAAGATTAAGCCACTCAAGAGGTGGCACGGGCATTAATAGCCCGTAATGATGAGGGAAGGAAGCGAAGGCAATAAATAGGCAAGAGAGAGGTGAGGAGAAGGAAGTCTTAGAGGAAGTAAAAACAAGGCAAAAGGTACGAAAGCCTAGGGTGTAATATAGGTGATAGTAATAGGAATAAGAAAGGAATCGTAAGAGAAAACAAGGGAAAGAAAGAAAGATACATGGAAGGGTAAGCTTATGTTAGGACACGTTTGCTAGAAAGTTTAGAACATTTAGTACATACTGTGAAAGGAAAAAGTCAACAGCAACAAAGCCAGGACTCAAGTTCATGTTGGATACGTGGTATATCAGAGTCGATTTAACAAGACAGCGTCTGTGTTGAGAAGAGGCAGGAAAGAATATTTTGGAGGAAGACCAATGAATAGAATGATTAGAATCCCTAACATGACAGAAGAGAGCATTGTTTGTGTCTGCAGACTTAACACTTCTTTTGTGTTCTTTAAATCTGTCATTAAGTGTACGGCCAGTTTCGCCAAAGTATTGGAGAGGACAAGACAAACAGGAAATAGAGTAGACACCAGCAGCATTAGAAGCAGGAAGATCAGTGCGAACTAGATTGCTATGAAGTGTGTTAGTTTGTCGAAAGGCGAGCTTTATGTCAAGAGGACGAAAGGTATTAGTAAAAGTTTTGAGTTCACATATAAAGGATAGGCAGACCACAGTGCTACTAGTGTTGGAAGCAGGTTTGAGATGAAAGAAATTTCGTTTAGCTTGAGAATAGGCACAGTTGATAAAATGCAAGAGGTAATCGAGGCGAGAGAATGATTTGTAGATAAAGGCAATTTCAGAATCAAGAAACTGAGGGTCGCTGATGCGTAGAGCGCGGAGGAAGAGGGAGACAAGGACATTTTTCTTAACAGAAGGAGGATGGTAGGAAAAGAAGTGAATGTACATGCCACTATGCATAGGTTTGCGGTAGACACAGGAAGAGAACCTGGACACAGAGCTGTGAACCTGAACGTTAAGAAAAGGAAGGAGGGAATTATATTCCCATTCAACTTTGAAATGGATGGAAGGAGCCAGATTGTTAAGAGAGGAGATGAAAGGCTGGAAAAGACTAAGGTCATGAGGCCATAAAGCAAAAATATCATCAACATAGCAAAGCCAGAGAGAGAGAGGGACGAATATCAATAGAAGGAAGAAGAAGAATAGGTTCAGTATTCCATGTAGAAATTGGTATGAACAGGGGGAGAGAAGGGAACCGATAGCAACACCGATTGTTTGAGTGTAATATTTACCGTTGAAAGAAAAGAGTTAGAGTCAACAAAGAGTCTAATGAGTTCGAGGAAAATGTCAGTGGGAAGCAGGAGAGGAAGAAGGCACTCAGTCGCCTTCTGTTTAAGGAAAGAGAGAACGTCATCGAGGGGAACACTAGTGAACAGAAAGTCTACATCAAGCCTAAGCATCTTACAAGAGGGCTGCAGGAACAGTCTTTCTATGAAGTCCCGAGAGTAACGAAGGTGGGCAGGGGAAAAAGTGCCATGGTAAGGTGTCAGAGTTTTAGCGAGCCAGGAGGCAAGAGGATAGCTGACAGAGCCCCGAGAAGAAGTGATAGGACGAAGAGGAACACCAGGTTTATGAGTCTTAGGTAGACCATAGAAATAAAGAAGAGATGGGCAGATGACACGGAAACGTTTAATGAGATCGAAGTCAGGAGGACAAAGACTAGCCCTTACACTGCTCAGGGGTCCTTCGGACAATTACACCCCTGTGCGCAAGAAAAAAAAAAAAAATTCAAAATTTTTTTTTCGTCTTCTAAACATGTTAATTTGTGTCCTTTGAGCACGGAAAAAATAAAAAAAAATCGTAGGTGACATATTTTGGGCGCAATTGACCGAGGAAGTCTGGCAAAAAGTGGGCGTTGACAGAGTGGTCGTCAGACCTGGTCAGCGTCACCCGCGTTGACAGATGGGAGTTGCCACAAAGATATTATTACCTAATTGTTTCAATGTCTCCGATTGATTTTTTCTTAGTTTTTTTGCAGTAATATTATTCAATAGTGTGTATTGTAATATATTTATATAATAAAAGTGGTTAATAATCGCTATACTCAAAAGTATGATGTGCATATTAGTGATTCAATTATTATGTTTATAAAACTATAAACAAATAGTTTTGCTGCTATTACACTCTATACACAGGTTATATATAAGTATTGGCATGTTTTGGTCACCATAACGAACCACTAAGTTGGTATTGAGAGTCGAAAAGCAACGAGGAGTTACCGCCACACACCAGCCAGCCACTCGCTGCCACTCCCTCAACACACGCACTAAACTTTCTCCCCCAACAATACCAGTTGTGGTGTTATTACACTATATACAGACGTTATATATAAGTATGTGTATATTTTGTTCACCACAACTGTACAGCTAAGCTGATATAGTTAGTTCAGGCACTAAGAGTCGTCGCTATACACAGATGGCGGCTGGCGGCTCCCTCACTCTTTCAAGGTCACACGCACTAAACTTTCTCCCCCAACAATACCTTTTGCAGTGTTATTACCCTATATACACATATTATATATAAATATCTACATGTTTTATGCACCGTAACTGTACACCTAAGCTTGTAGTGCGCCCAAAGAGCATAGTGGCCACCCTCTAAACAGCTAGACAAATCGTGCAGACGACGTCACCTCCGTCACCCATATGGCTCCTCCCAGCATAATCCGTTTGCTGTTATTACATTAATACACACATTATATATAAGTATCTACATTTGTGTTCACCATAGAGAACCACTGACCTGGTATGGTGAATGCAAACAATAACAGGTGGCCACATAGTCAGTAAACGATGCTATCTCCCTCCGTCTCTCAGCATCACTCCTCCCACAGCGCTAATTATTACAACAATCCTGCTATTATCACAACCCTGGTTATTTATATCACAGTCATTGGTCATCTGTAATATTGTCATCGCTAAATAATAACAATTATATATTTATTTTGACATTTTTCGGCGATGCTGTGGTCACAAGCTGAACATCAATGCTGTTCGCTCATGCTGCGTGCGCCGGCCTTGGTTGCTCCAACAGTACTGTGCCTCTCACACCTGAGAATATTGCCCACGATTTTTTTTTAAAATGGCATCTGTGTACAAGAGCCCTGAGGAAGTTACTGTGAACCCCGTGTAGCCGCGGGCCATTTGAATCAGGCCTGGCACCCTATGGCGTATATATACGCCATGCGCACCATGGGACATGTTACTCAGGGCGTATATATATGCCATGCGCAGTTTAAGGGCTAGAGAGCTGTCTTAGTTTGCGGTTAAAGGAAGTTTTAAGGCGATACAAAGGGTTAGAAGTCAGAAGGGCATATGTGCGGGAGTCAGGGAGTAAGACATCTGCTTTCTGGAGGTAGTCCTCACGGTCAAGGACAATCACCGAATTGCCTTTGTCGGAAGGAAGGATAAAAATAGAGTTGTTAGATTTCTGGGAGGCAAGGGCAAGCTGGAAGCGACGAGGAAGGTGATGATTTTTAGAAAACAAGCTGTTAAGAACGGGGATAAGGGCCCTTCTAAAGGCAGACAGGTCCGAAAAAGTACTAGAGTTAGATTTGACAAACTTGTCAATGGAACTAATGAAGTCAATGCCACAGTGCGGGTCAGGGGAAGTAGCAGTTTTAGTGTAAAGATTGTAACCTAGTATAACCTAGTGTATAGATTGTAAATCTGAACGTTAAGAAAAGGTTCAGATTTAAAAAAGGTTCAAATTGGGGGGCATTTGCTAAGACATTTATGTCCCTCGAATACAGACGAGACAATGAAGTCTTTTATTATCCACAGCTGTGATGACGTCAGCGTTGCGAGCCACTGGCCGGTGCGGAGCGTCAACAGTCATGGCTTCTTGCACAAGGTTGGTTCTTCATGCAGTTGTTTGTGTGAGTGTTGTGTGTTTGTGTCCTCGACTTGCAGGGGAGGTGTCCTCGACTTGCTGGGGGAGGTGTCCTCGACTTGCAGGGGGAGGTGTCCTCGACTTGCTGGGGGAGGTGTCCTCGACTTGCTGGGGGAGGTGGGCTGGGGGAGGTGTCCTCGACAGGGGGAGGTGTCCTCGACTTCCAGGGGGAGACTTGCTGGGGGAGGTGTCCTCGACTTGCTGGGGGAGGTGTCCTCGACTTGCTGGGGGAGGTGTCCTCGACTTGCAGGGGGAGGTGTCCTCGACTTGCTGGGGGAGGTGTCCTCGACTTGGGGGAGGTGTCCTCGACTTGCAGGGAGAGGTGTCCTCGACTTGCTGGGGGAGGTGTCCTCGACTTGCAGGGGGAGGTGTCCTCGACTTGCAGGGAGAGGTGTCCTCGATTTGCTGGGGGAGGTGTCCTCGACTTGCTGGGGGAGGTGTCCTCGACTTGCTGGGGGAGGTGTCCTCGACTTGCTGGGGGTTGTGTCCTCGACTTGCAGGGAGAGGTGTCCTCGACTTGCTGGGGGTTGTGTCCTCGACTTGCAGGGAGAGGTGTCCTCGACTTGCTGGGGGAGGTGTTCTTGACTTGCAGGGAGAGGTGTCCTCGACTTGCAGGGAGAGGTGTCCTCGACTTGCAGGGGGAGGTGTCCTCGACTTGCAGGGAGAGGTGTCCTCGACTTGCTGGGGGAGGTGTCCTTGACTTGCTGGGAGAGGTGTCCTCGACTTGCAGGGAGAGGTGTCCTCGACTTGCAGGGGGAGGTGTCCTCGACTTGCAGGGAGAGGTGTCCTCGACTTGCAGGGAGAGGTGTCCTTGACTTGCTGGGGGAGGTGTTCTCGACTTGCAGGGAGAGATGTCCTCGACTTGCAGGGAGAGGTGTCCTCGACTTGCAGGGGGAGGTGTCCTCGACTTGCAGGGAGAGGTGTCCTCGACTTGCTGGGGGAGGTGTCCTCGACTTGCAGGGGGAGGTGTCCTCGACTTGCAGGGAGAGGTGTCCTCGACTTGCTGGGGGAGGTGTCCTCGACTTGCTGGGGGAGGTGTCCTCGACTTGCTGGGGGAGGTGTCCTCGACTTGCTGGGGGTTGTGTCCTCGACTTGCAGGGAGAGGTGTCCTCGACTTGCTGGGGGAGGTGTCCTCGACTTGCAGGGAGAGGTGTCCTTGACTTGCTGGGGGAGGTGTCCTTGACTTGCAGGGAGAGGTGTCCTCGACTTGCAGGGAGAGGTGTCCTTGACTTGCAGGGGGAGGTGTCCTCGACTTGCAGGGAGAGGTGTCCTTGACTTGCTGGGGGAGGTGTCCTTGACTTGCTGGGAGAGGTGTCCTCGACTTGCAGGGAGAGGTGTCCTTGACTTGCAGGGGGAGGTGTCCTCGACTTGCAGGGAGAGGTGTCCTCGACTTGCAGGGGGAGGTGTCCTTGACTTGCTGGGGGAGGTGTTCTCGACTTGCAGGGAGAGATGTCCTCGACTTGCAGGGAGAGGTGTCCTCGACTTGCAGGGGGAGGTGTCCTCGACTTGCAGGGAGAGGTGTCCTCGACTTGCTGGGGGAGGTGTCCTCGACTTGCAGGGGGAGGTGTCCTCGACTTGCAGGGGGAGGTGTCCTCGACTTGCAGGGGGAGGTGTCCTCGACTTGCTGGGGGAGGTGTCCTCGACTTGCTGGGGGAGGTGTCCTCGACTTGCTGGGGGTTGTGTCCTCGACTTGCAGGGAGAGGTGTCCTTGACTTGCTGGGGGAGGTGTTCTTGACTTGCAGGGGGAGGTGTCCTCGACTTGCAGGGAGAGGTGTCCTTGACTTGCTGGGGGAGGTGTCCTCGACTTGCTGGGAGAGGTGTCCTCGACTTGCAGGGAGAGGTGTCCTCGACTTGCAGGGGGAGGTGTCCTCGACTTGCAAGGAGAGGTGTCCTCGACTTGCAGGGGGAGGTGTCCTTGACTTGCTGGGGGAGGTGTCCTCGACTTGCAGGGAGAGATGTCCTCGACTTGCAGGGAGAGGTGTCCTCGACTTGCAGGGGGAGGTGTCCTCGACTTGCAGGGGGAGGTGTCCTCGACTTGCAGGGAGAGGTGTCCTTGACTTGCAGGGGGAGGTGTCCTCGACTTGCAGGGGGAGGTGTCCTTGACTTGCAGGGGGAGGTGTCCTCGACTTGCAGGGAGAGGTGTCCTCGACTTGCTGGGGGAGGTGTCCTCGACTTGCAGGGGGAGGTGTCCTCGACTTGCAGGGAGAGGTGTCCTCGACTTGCTGGGGGAGGTGTCCTCGACTTGCTGGGGGAGGTGTCCTCGACTTGCAGGGGGAGGTGTCCTCGACTTGCTGGGGGAGGTGTCCTCGACTTGCTGGGGGAAGTGACCTCGACTTGCAGGGACAGGTGTCCCCGACTTGCTGGGGGAGGTGTCCTCGACTTGCTGGGGGAGGTGTCCTCGACTTGCTGGGGAAGGTGTCCTCGACTTGCTGGGGGATGTCCTCGACTTGCTGGGGAAGGTGTCCTCGACTTGCTGGGGGATGTCCTCGACTTACTGGGGGAGGTGTCCTCGACTTGCTGGGGATGTGTCCTCGACTTGCTGGGGGATGTCCTCGACTTGCTAAGGGAGGTGTCCTCGACTTGCTGGGGGAGGTGTCCTCGACTTGCTGGGGAGGTGTCCTCGACTTGCTGGGGGAGGTGTCCTCGACTTGCAGGGGGAGGTGTCCTCGACTTGCTGGGGAAGGTGTCCTCGACTTGCTGGGGGAGGTGTCCTCGACTTGCAGGGAGAGGTGTCCTCGACTTGCTGGGGGAGGTGTCCTCGACTTGCTGGGGGAGGTGTCCTCGACTTGCTAGGGGAGGTGTCCTCGACTTGCTGGGGGTTGTGTCCTCGACTTGCAGGGAGAGGTGTCCTCGACTTGCTGGGGGTTGTGTCCTCGACTTGCAGGGAGAGGTGTCCTTGACTTGCTGGGGGAGGTGTTCTTGACTTGCAGGGAGAGGTGTCTTCGACTTGCAGGGAGAGGTGTCCTTGACTTGCAGGGGGAGGTGTCCTCGACTTGCAGGGAGAGGTGTCCTTGACTTGCTGGGGGAGGTGTCCTTGACTTGCTGGGAGAGGTGTCCTCGACTTGCAGGGAGAGGTGTCCTTGACTTGCAGGGGGAGGTGTCCTCGACTTGCAGGGAGAGGTGTCCTCGACTTGCAGTGGGAGGTGTCCTTGACTTGCTGGGGGAGGTGTTCTCGACTTGCAGGGAGAGATGTCCTCGACTTGCAGGGAGAGGTGTCCTCGACTTGCAGGGGGAGGTGTCCTCGACTTGCAGGGAGAGGTGTCCTCGACTTGCTGGGGGAGGTGTCCTCGACTTGCAGGGGGAGGTGTCCTCGACTTGCAGGGAGAGGTGTCCTCGACTTGCTGGGGGAGGTGTCCTCGACTTGCTGGGGGAGGTGTCCTCGACTTGCTGGGGGAGGTGTCCTCGACTTGCTGGGGGTTGTGTCCTCGACTTGCAGGGAGAGGTGTCCTCGACTTGCTGGGGGTTGTGTCCTCGACTTGCAGGGAGAGGTGTCCTTGACTTGCTGGTTGAGGTGTTCTTGACTTGCAGGGGGAGGTGTCCTCGACTTGCAGGGAGAGGTGTCCTCGACTTGCAGGGAGAGGTGTCCTCGACTTGCAGGGGGAGGTGTCCTCGACTTGCAGGGGGAGGTGTCCTCGACTTGCAGGGAGAGGTGTCCTCGACTTGCAGGGAGAGGTGTCCTCGACTTGCAGGGGGAGGTGTCCTCGACTTGCAGGGGGAGGTGTCCTCGACTTGCAGGGAGAGGTGTCCTTGACTTGCAGGGGGAGGTGTCCTCGACTTGCAGGGAGAGGTGTCCTCGACTTGCAGGGGGAGGTGTCCTTGACTTGCTGGGGGAGGTGTTCTCGACTTGCAGGGAGAGATGTCCTCGACTTGCAGGGAGAGGTGTCCTCGACTTGCAGGGGGAGGTGTCCTCGACTTGCAGGGAGAGGTGTCCTCGACTTGCTTGGGGAGGTGTCCTCGACTTGCAGGGGGAGGTGTCCTCGACTTGCAGGGAGAGGTGTCCTCGACTTGCAGGGGGTTGTGTCCTCGACTTGCAGGGAGAGGTGTCCTCGACTTGCTGGGGGTTGTGTCCTCGACTTGCAGGGAGAGGTGTCCTTGACTTGCTGGGGGAGGTGTTCTTGACTTGCAGGGAGAGGTGTCCTCGACTTGCAGGGAGAGGTGTCCTTGACTTGCAGGGGGAGGTGTCCTCGACTTGCAGGGAGAGGTGTCCTTGACTTGCTGGGGGAGGTGTCCTTGACTTGCTGGGAGAGGTGTCCTCGACTTGCAGGGAGAGGTGTCCTTGACTTGCAGGGGGAGGTGTCCTCGACTTGCAGGGAGAGGTGTCCTCGACTTGCAGGGGGAGGTGTCCTTGACTTGCTGGGGGAGGTGTTCTCGACTTGCAGGGAGAGATGTCCTCGACTTGCAGGGAGAGGTGTCCTCGACTTGCAGGGGGAGGTGTCCTCGACTTGCAGGGAGAGGTGTCCTCGACTTGCTGGGGGAGGTGTCCTCGACTTGCAGGGGGAGGTGTCCTCGACTTGCAGGGAGAGGTGTCCTCGACTTGCTGGGGGAGGTGTCCTCGACTTGCTGGGGGAGGTGTCCTCGACTTGCTGGGGGAGGTGTCCTCGACTTGCTGGGGGTTGTGTCCTCGACTTGCAGGGAGAGGTGTCCTTGACTTGCTGGGGGAGGTGTTCTTGACTTGCAGGGGGAGGTGTCCTCGACTTGCAGGGAGAGGTGTCCTCGACTTGCAGGGAGAGGTGTCCTCGACTTGCAGGGAGAGGTGTCCTCGACTTGCAGGGGGAGGTGTCCTCGACTTGCAGGGGGAGGTGTCCTCGACTTGCAGGGAGAGGTGTCCTTGACTTGCAGGGGGAGGTGTCCTCGACTTGCAGGGAGAGGTGTCCTCGACTTGCAGGGGGAGGTGTCCTTGACTTGCTGGGGGAGGTGTTCTCGACTTGCAGGGAGAGTTGTCCTCGACTTGCAGGGAGAGG